GGTAAATACTTCGCAGCATGATCTGAATTGCGTATTCACAGATATAAAATAAAAATTACTATATACATGTATACATCTTATTTTTAAAAAGTACATAAGGGGGAACTTGTACATCATTTGGGGCTGTTGACTATTCTGGCCGAAGCAATAAAGAAACTGTTTTTAAGTCTATTTGTCTTGCCGAGTGGCAAAGCAAAAGTACGCTCGTGCCTTAACCTTTGAGAGCTTGCATAGCGGGGTGGTAAAAGTTTACTTAATTTGTGCTGAGGATCGTTCATTATATTGCGAAATGTTGCTGTACACATATTTTCATGGTGGTCTTTCACAGTTGGAAGATTCATAACAGCTAAGGCCTGTTCGTATTGCATACCAGGACAAATGATTCTCATGGATCTTTCCTGAATACGTTCTAGTTATTGGTGGAGGTATTCAGGGAGAGAGTAATGAAAAACTTGTGCTGCGTAATCGATTATGGATCGTTTACATGCCGTATAAAAGAGGCAAAGGTCTTTTGGTGGAACATGAGCTCGTTTTAGCTGAACAAGGAAATAGATTCTCTTTGCGGCTCTCTTGGTGATCTCAGTTAAGTGAGCGTTCCATTTAAAATCTTCGGAGATGGTAACACCCAAGAGTTTAGCTTGTTTAACCAATTTCATGTGTTTACCATCTATTGAAACTGGATTGAAATCTCTTGGAATTGAGGAGAAACCAATTCGCAGTTCTTTGCATTTGTCTGTGTTTAATATAAGTCTGTTTTTCTTCGACCACCCTATTACTTGTTTCGGGGTATTTTGAGCTCCACTGGGGTGCCCTTTCTTCACAACTTCGGAGGCCGTCGTGTCGTCGACGAATTTCCATAGGGAGGCGTCAGTGATCGCTAAATCGTCTATCATAATCAAGAAAAGCCAGGGACCTAATTTGGTACCCTGCGGGACACCGGATGGAACGGAGCCCCATTCCGATACACATCCATCAGACATCCGTCATTCTCTGACAACGGTCTGACAGGAAATCAATTATCCAGTTGATGACGCTAGGTACAATGTCGAGTTGGCATAACTTATTGACGAGTATACCATGATCGATCAAGTTAAATGCCTTCTTATAATCAAACATAAGTACCCTTTCTGTTGAGCCAGTCCCGTCAGTCCCTTTAGACCATTCGTGGAGCGTCTCTATTAAGGCAAAGGTTGTTGAGGACTTTGGTATTGCGCCAAACTGGGCAGGATCCAGTTGAATCAACACAGCTGGTTTCAAATAATCCAATTCGGAATGCCATCGGGTCCACCTGCTTTCGCCGCATTAAGATTTAAAAGACTCCTAAAGACACCGTACTCTGTAGTAGATAGGAATTGTGGGTTCTGGTCTTCGAGAGGAAGCTTTGGAATCTTTCCTGGTAAACGATACCCTTCCAGGGGCTTCAATAACGCTTGGTTTACACAGTTAGCCATCTCGCACATGGTTAAACCTTCTATCTGTTCAATGTCCAGAAGAGGAAGCAGGTTACTTGTTGATTTTTGTGCTCCGCTAAGCCTTTTTACCTCCTTCCACCAAGCTTTAGGGTCCTTTTCTTTCATTCCATGACTTTGGATTCGTAGAAGATCGCTTTGCAATTTTTCCGCCTTCGGTTTACGTCATTTCTATAAATCTTCTACAGAATTGACTGAGGGCCGTGATCGTGAAAGGCTCGTCTTTTAGAGATTAGTAACTTTAGTTAACTCGTCATCCAAGGGGCATCCGTGGTGTTTATTCGAAGTCTTTTTGGGGGCATTAGAAGGTTTAAACCAGTACAAACAACAGATTGGAATGCCTGGAGGTATTCCTCACAGTTATTGGGTCCGCAAAAGAGTACATGCTAATCGATGCTAGCAAGATAGCGACCGGGCTCAGCTTTATGGCTGGGACGCAGATCGCGTTTAAAAATGAATTTCGTTGTCTTCTCTGTCTTCTTCTTTGTCTTTGGAGAACATAGGACTGTATTGCGATCAGACAAGCCAAACGGTGGATAGGACGAGGGATTATCATAGAATACATAAAGGTTGGTTAGCATGAGATCAAGGATTGCGCTTTTCCTGGTTGTAACTTTGACAATTTGCTTCAGGCGAAAATGATTGAGTATGGGCTGAATATCAGGGCGATTAAAGTCTCCGCAAACAATAAGAGCACAGTTTTGGTACTTGGATTCGGCCAAGGAGGGAGAGTTGAAAAGGTGATCTCGGATGTTACCGTTATTTGTAGTCGCTGGGGCAGGAGGATGGTAAACAATAGCCAAAACAATGCAAGAGAACCCTCGTGGAAGGCGTTTGGGTCTAAGGAGGACCCATAAGATTTCGTGATCGGCGCAACAGATGAGGTCTTTAAGTACACAGAGTTTGCTGTAAGTGTCTTTAACGTACAGGCAAACACTACCATGTTGGACACCTTGTCTATCTCGACGAATGATTGAATAATTTGGAATCTCAACAACGCTGTCCGCGACGTGCTCTTTTTGCCATGTCTCAGAAATGCATAATAAATCGATGTCAAGTCGACCAGCAAACTCAGCAACTTCGATGACTTTTGGTGTTAGAGACAAGACATAACGTTGGTCAGCATTCTTTTTGGAACATTGTACGCGCTGCTATTTGGCTCAATTCGCTTGAATTCAAGAGCGATGGATGGGTGACTTTGAAACAACGAGCGGAGATGACAGTATCAGCTTGAGCATTGAACCTGTGAGCGAAACCCTTCAAGGATTTCATATCTTGCGCGCTGTTCTGTTCAGAGATTGTTGTTTGATTGCTGTTGTACCATGAAATTCTCTCAGGAATCCGTGGCTCATTTCCATTGGATGGAATGCTAACAGAGGTGTTAAATTGAATATTTAATGATCCGTTGAGGAATTATACAAAAGACCTTCGTCTCCAAGGAAATAATCGACAAGGCTTTGATTTTCAGTATTTTATTGAAAACAATAAGACGATAATCTGAAGCTGCAATTGCAAATTTAAAGAACATCAGAAACAAATCTCTTTGTGCCGAAAAAACCAGAAAAGGGGTAACGAAATCAAAAGTACTTACATTTGTCCAACCTTGTCAGGTACATAGATTTAAAGTCAGAAACATACACACTTCCAGTTGAAAAAAAGGCCCTCAATCTTATCAAAACACCTTAGTAAACCATGTATTGCGAACTGTCAAGACGAAAAGAAAAAACGTGCTACGTGTAAATCACGTGAGCTCGATGGGCGTAAATTAGCGTCCAGTCCGTTGCGATTTCGGTAACGCAACAGAGAAATAGATTTGTACCATCTGCAACCGATAGTATTTCTGAGCACCTTACAATATCATTTATGTATATAGGGAAAAGAAGAGGCCCCAAAACAGATCCCTGAGGCACACCACACTTAATTGTTAAACTTTCTGATTTCTGTGACTCGAGTTTAACTATCTGTTTTCTGTTTGAGAGGTAATTTTTGAACCACTCTAAGACAATTCCTCTTATTCCGTAATGCTCTAGTTTTTCAAGTAATATTTTATGGTTTACTGTATGGAATGCCTTTGTAAGATCTAAAAATACTCCAATTATGTATTCATTGTTGTCTATCGCTTGTAATATCTTGGTTGTAAGCTCTATAGTGGCTAAGTTTCTTGAATGTTTTTTGCGAAAACCATATTGGTTCTGGACTAACGTGTTGTGATTTTCTAAATATCTCAATAATCTTTTATACATAACTTTCTCTAGAATTTTACTAAAACAAGGAAGGACTGAGATTGGTCTATAGTTTGAAATTTCTTCCTTATTATTTGCCTTATACACTGGAGTGATAAGCGCTACTTTAAGGTCATCTGGGATAACTCCAGTTTGTAGAGACTGGTTATAAATGTATGTAATAACTTTGATTGCAAAGGTATGTTCTGAGAATAACTGACGATCTACTGACCTCTACTGTGCTTCAAGCTTCCTTTCCCGCCATGCCAATACGTCTCTCAGGTAGGCCTTTATAGATTATGCTAGCATAATTTTGGCATAATTTGAGCAAACTGGATTAATTTCTGCCAAGTAACAATGCTAGCATAATTCGCATATTTTGATGATTTTCGGATCATTTTTGATGCTACAATTTGACCATTGTCCATCTCTACTCCGAAGCACTCGGTGACGTTATTCGATGTTTTAAGTTTGAGTTCAAGTAGTAGCATTTGTAGTTCACTGTGAATCACTGAGCGGCGTCTGAAACGGTCTGAGCCCGGGTCTGGGGTGCACCGGAACCGGAAGTCACATTGTATGCCATGTATAGTATATGTACTAGTGTGCATGTTAACTTGAACCACATGTTTAATTGAATTTCATTGTGGATTTGTTACGTTTCTTTCTTGTAGACCAACGGCTTCTAATTAAAAATGTATTTTTTGGACTTATTTCCAACTTTTCCAAAGAGCATAATTAAAAAAAAAGGGGGCATAATTTGGAAAAAAGAGCATAATTTTAGCATAATTTCGTCAAAAAAGCATGCTACTTTTACTAGCATAATCTATAAAGGCCTACTCTGAGGCTTACTTGCCGCTGCTATATTAAGCTCTTCTGGGAAAACGGATGACTATACAAATATTTTTCTTTATTTTGCAAGAATTATAATATAGAAAGGACGTACATCAACCCTTTTTAGGAGGGCAATGGGGCAAAGGATATCCCTGTCACTGACCAACCACTATCTGCCGAGATCAACCTCGTTCCCAGGGTCTCTCATCTTCTCGCCCCCTGGAACGAGAGAGGGCGGGAAGATGAGAGACTCCGGGAACAAGGTTGCGGTCGAGATGATTATAGATTGGACAAATTCACGTAGACAAAGTGAACTTTAAAAAAAAAATGGAAAATGATTATATAATTTATCATATGGATAAAGATCACAACGAAAAATTTAATTGAGCGGGACAAAGCGGGTATTCCCGCTCTGGGCAGTCAATCAAATTCGTTTATCTGGCCCTCTCTCCGAGGCCACCTCATCAATAAGTCTTACTNCGTCATAATGTCCAATGTCTCCTGTGTGAAGCCAGCCATCTGCGTCAATTGTCCTCGCAGTGGCCTCTGGGTTATTCAAATAACCTAAAATATTTTTTAATATCACCAATGGTTTTCAGTTGTTAATGGAACTGATAAGATGTAAATGAATAAAGGCTGATAGTTTCTAAAGAAACTGTTTGGGGCTGCGTCGGTGGGGATAATGAAATAATTTGGATATATCAACAAAGTTGAAATGGTAAATTGGCCACCGTATCGATTACAAAAGCTGACGTTTCGAGCGATAAAATGTAAACCTTGTAATCACAGTTTTAATTTACCAAAAGGGCGCTTGAAGTTTCAATCGAAATAACATTCTGATCTAGTCAAGCGCGCGCTATTTACATTTTTCGCGTATTTAATATTGAAATGTAAAGTAAGACCTGACACGTAATTTGTAACGTACCTTAATATAAATTCAAATGTACAACCGTTAAATGCTCATTTGCAACTGAAGATGACATAAGAATGTCGAAACATGTCTTGTAAATTTAAACTCAAAGTTTTCGTTTCTTTTTTGAGAAATTACATTGTTAATTGAAAAATCTAGACGTTGAGAGCTTCGATACCTTTCATTACAATTGGTCCTTTAATGCATATCTCTCCGTCTTGGTTTGGTCCAAGAATCTTGCCAGTTCCAGGATAAATAACCTAAGGAATGAACATCATATTTATTATAAGTATAAAGAAAACAGTGGACAGCGCTGAAGGCGCGCTCTGATTGGCTATACCCAAACTCCCAAAATCCTTTGCTATTCACCTCCGAGCAACGCGCGCGGGATTTGCGCCCGAAAATATTGTAATGGTTGCAGGAATAATGAGATAAAATCATCTTTTAATGCTATAATATATCACTAATAATAATGATATAATATCTCGTATAATAATAATCTTATAATATATCACTGTTTTAATTTGTACTAAAACAACTGTTCACCTCAGTGACAAGCGGTGGATATTTGCCTCGCCGCTTCGTGGCTCGGTAAATATCTGCCATTAGCCACCTCCACCTCGGTGAACAGTTGTTGACTAGTAAATAGTTATTACAATTATCCAATCACATTCCAAGTCATTCTGGACCAGTGACCACTTACCTTACATTCCATATTTGGAAGCAGACGTCCGATGGAGCCAACTTTATTTTTTCCCTTGACCCCAGACCATGGGATGCGCAGGTCAGTTCTGTCATTCCATAACCTAGCAAAGAGACCAAAAAATCAGATAGAAATCTCACAGTAATTTATAAGACACTGATCTCCACACGATAAAGAGTAACTTTCGGCGGAGTCGGTTGTTTTAAGGCGGTTAATGCTGTCGATCGTTTGGAAGCTGAAAGCAAGAATTTACGAGACTACTTAGATGACTGAAAAAAGGCTATGTTATTCGCATTTGGTGAGATGGTATTTCGCGGAGTTCTATTTTCGCGATTTCAGTAGGCATAATATTAAAAAGGGGCATTCAATTTCGCAATTCAAAAGTTCTCAACTATATTTTTATAAGCGAAATCTTTACAAATTAACTTCATTTAAAAGTAGAAGAAACAAAGTAGAACTTACGAATAAGAACGGTTAATAAGTTGTGTATTTTGTCCATTCATTTCCTAGCATGCAATTGTTGTTTTTATAACACGTTGACGATCATTTTTATTCGGGNTAACAGCTGCTGCTGTACTTGATAGTAATAGTTATGGGATTTCTTCAACTTTAATACCCCATTCACATTTTCGAGGAAAGAGCTTGCTTTCAGGCTATATTCTTGGAAGTCACCATTTGTGACAGAAATGGGACTTTTAACTTCACCGCAGCCCAATCCACAACAATCACACGATAACAAAAAATCTGGTGTAGCATGTATAAAAGGAAAGTCTTTGTTTATGAAAATCCCACATCTCTTAATTTGAAAATTAGTATGTAGCGATTTCATACGGTGTTCATAAGTTCTGATAGCTTGTTCCTCGTAATTACATCCATGTTTTGTTGCCTTGTTGTCTATTTTAAACAGATGCGGATACCAGATAGACTGAATACGAATTTGAGAAGGTTGAGCGAGATTTCCATGGAGCACAGCACCACAGACAGAGGCTCCAATTCTGCCTGCGCAATGCCTAAAAAATCCTGCACCTTTAGCTTGAGTACGCGTGTCTTCTTCGATGCTGTCGATTTCTTCGTCTGAAATGTTTATCTTAACTTCTAAACATTTCCGTAAAAGCTCGAGGTTTTTTTTAGTTCTAAATTACTTGACTCGTAAAGATCTGTTAGGACTGGGATGTTTCTGCTTTTTGTAATAAACTGATCAGCATATGGGTCGATTAAACTTAATATTGAAGCCTTTGTTTCACACCGATCCAGCTTTTTATAAAATTCCGACACATCCTCCGCTGAAACGCTACGTTTCGTGTTCTTGTTCGCTGCGGCTCCAACAGTCAGTCGAGTTTGATTGTAGAATCCATCAGAAGATTCAATGTTATTGTCAAGTTTTTCTTTCAACTTTTTAGCTGAAGAAAAATAAATTTCTTTTGCCCTTGCATATGTAACATTACTTACTTACATAAGTTGGAAGAAGCCATGAGCATTTTACTTGCGTACAAGCCAACTTTCCGTTGATTCGAGTCCAACATTCGATATAAAATAAAACACTGGCAACGTGTAAGCACGATTCAGCAAGACCTGCCTTACAGCCCAGGCAATGAGCGGAGAAAACTCTTCCATCTTTTCCTGTATATCGACGAGAGGATCATTCATACGTTGTGAATGTCGGACTTTGGCGACGACTACATACTTATCAGAAACAATTCTTCCCTTCATGGACGCTACAAAACCAGAGACCACTCGGTTGTATGCTTCGAGACTTATGTAGTTCTTGAACTGGTCGTTAGTATAATGACTTGTTGACTGTGGTGTTCACACCACCGAGCCGTGCCACACCATGGAAAATGATCGGGTATTCAATCACATTCGGAAGATAAATGGCCATCACATCGCCCTTCTGAAATCCTCTTCTGGCCAGAGCAGAACTAAATCGATGGGTGAGGTCTTTGATTTCATTGAACGAGAGCGATCTTCCTGACTCTCCGTCAACCTGACAGAGGAGAGACAAAAACTTGATCAAATTCAAATTTAAAGAGTTAAGCAAGTAATTAGCAAAGAAAAGAAATGAAAAGAAAAAGAACAGAAAAAGAGAAGAAAAAGGAAAGAAAAAGAAAAGAAAGAGAAAAGAAAAGAAAAAGAAAAGAAAAGGAAAAGAGAAACGAAAAGAAAAAGAAGAGAAAAAGAAGAGAAAAAGAAAAGAAAAACAAAAAGAAAACAAAAAGAAAAGAAAAGAAAAAGAAAAGAAAAGATCTTTGACTTGTTATGGGTTACGCTGCTGTACCCTAGCTTCCAGGGCTTCTCTTTCCCCTAAGATCCTCAAGTATGACCTCAACCCTGATCTAAATGGGTTGTCTGAATGATGAACCCTGAAGGGGGGAATGGAGAGAGAGTAGTGAGTGAAGGGAGGTAGAGGGGTAAACCTTGGTTCGGACCTTTCGCGGCCAGGCGGTGGGACGTTTCAGTTTTAGTTACACGTACAATCTGGGTACAAAATTCGGGTGATAATCTCTTGATTTGAAGGTGCCCTCTTCATGCCTACAGCTTGTACTTCAGTTAGTCTGAAGCCAGAAGGTGTCTAACAGAGTAGATTAGATTTGAATAAGACCTAAAAAAGGAAAACTAAAAACCCTGGTAAGTAACAAAGAAACTTTGTAACGGTAACTAACTAAAAATAGACTGATTTGATATTATTAGATTTTCATTGCTGTCGTCAAACCCAACTGATCCACAATCAAGGTATATCCAGATTTCGCCTACAATAGTTCGGGAAAGTTCTCAGAGTTGTGGGCTTTGCAGTTTGGAAGATCTATTCCTCGTTTTTACTTTTACCTCGCACGCAATTTAAATGGCGGCAAGAGAACTTTGACGTGTGTCGAAAAATATGATTGTATTGTGTGACAATCGGTTAAGCCGCTGAATTGAATATAAATTTTGTGTATGGGTAAATAAAACGTGCTCCTAACTTATTCTAGCTTCCTGAAATTACGTTATTTAGTAAGGATGCGTTACATTTTAAAATCCTGTTCGTGGGTGCTTGAAAAGGAGTCAGAGATCAGCGTTTTTAATTTTGTCCTTTGAAGAAATCTATTGTTAAAAAAAAGCAAACAGACAAAGAAACAGTATAAAAAGTCATTAAAAGAAACAAAAAAAAAAAAGATAAAACAAAAGACAGACACATTCACCAGATTCTACCGCGGGAAAACTTGAGGCCTTCAGCAATCCCCTAGCAAACCTCTCCCCGACTCGTGTCCAATCTCCCCGCGAGAGAAACGTACCTCCCGTGGCGCTAATAATAAGACCCAAACAACAACAACAACAACAACAAAACGAAAAAACAAACAAACAAAAATTAAGGCCTGCTCGCAAGTTAATACTATGCTTACTGCCTCTCCTTCGTCAGAAACAAAATCAAAATTATTCAGGCATTGCTTGTTGCCGTAAAAATATCATTCCACATGGCTTTGCTATGGAAAGCGAACCGAAACTCTGTTTTGTCTCCGTTAGCCTCTGACCATAAATATTTCTCAGTATTCGTCCTTCGAGCATGTGAAGGTGAAAGAAGATAAAGCAAAGCGGGCTTTCACGTGGGCATAGCAACGCGGGCTCTGTTAAAGTCTTACATGTACTAGCTTTCCTAAAATGTAATAAATTCTAAATGTAATAACATCTGATCTGAAATGCAATAAAGTCCTAAATGTAATAACATTTGGTCCTAAATGTAATAAACCTCCAATGCAGTTAATTGACTGCGCTAGTGTATTGTGATTATGGTGGACATCCACTTTGAGGTGTTAAAGTAACAGCTGTTGTACCACAACTCCTCTGACCAGTACTCATGTCACATTGCGGGCTCGCATCTGACGGCATCAAATAACAGCTGGTAAAACAATGAGTACACTGACCAATACCTCCATATATCTCTGGCTCAGACTCGTAAGTACAAAAGATTTTGGAAAAATGCGATAGCGCTATGCTTGTGTGATCAGTGATGGAGGTACAAGTCATAAACTAAATTACAAACTTGGACAAGGGAGTCTGCAGACTTGTAGGTCAGACAATTCGCAGGCCTGGACACACATTTTTCGCTTTTCCTTTCTTGTCTAAACCTTGTTGGCATGCACATTTTGTTACCCAGTTCGGACCTTGGGACAGCTCTCTAGAGAGTTATTGTTTTCAAATTCTCGAATATTTTCGCGATTATATGAAAAGAGACAAGATAATTTTTCTCCCCAAGAGAACATAATAGTTGGTTTGCAACCAAACTCCAGAGACACAGGTAACAATGGTGAAAGGAACAAATGCTGGTAGACGAACAAATGGAGCTAATGAGATGTCTATTGTTTACGTCGATTAACATGGCGGCAACGACGTAACGAGCAAACCACCTATTGGGGACAATTGTATTCTTGAAATGTATACAACAAATCCGACAAACGTAAAAGGTACAGCATGGGTCTGCATCAGATTATATACTCAGTGACTTACAATTAACAGGTGTAAATGAAAAGAAGCTGCTGACAAGCACATTAAAAATGGTTGTTTCTGTTAAAGGCTGTAAATGACGCCTGGTCCCCAAAAACTCGCGCAAAGATTTGCCCATTAACATTCTATTGATTGGTTGAGCTGATTTTGAAAAAATTCTTGAGTTCATTTAGCAACGAAGTTTTGATTAGAAAAATCCGAGCCCCGGATGGGACTTGAACCCACGACCCTCCGTGAGTCCCATCTGGGGCTCGGATTTTTCTGTTACACTAAAAATTGTTTCATCTTTACAAGTTTTGATTAGTGATGATAAAAATAGTAATAAGTGCGAAAATTATTTCACAAGCCTGTGAAATATTTCCGGCAGTTTTCTTTGACATCTACATCGAATGTTGTAAGATATTGATTCGATGTGTATGAGGCCCTGCTCGACCTTGTTGATGGAAGGCGCAACCACCAGTGAAGGAACGGACGAGAGCAATGTGTGTAGCTGCTATGCGATACTGGAGAGCCGGCGAAAGGATATCAGTCAAAGAAGACCATGGTGATAAAGCTCTTTATTACGAGGGGTGTCAAATGTTAAAATCACAGGAGGTGAACAAAGTAGTGGTTGTAGAATTTGAAAGGACGAAAGGATCTGGTGCGGGGAAGCTGGCTTCCTCTCTGAGGGACAACCTTTTTGGGAGTATGCCGAGCTAAAACCAAGAGGAAGGAAATTGTAACGTACCTAAAAAGTAATCTGTGCGATAGCGATGGCCTCTCCCTCTTTTGGAACATTT